ATTTTGAATGTTAATTTGATACAAATTCTTCTAGTTCATTACAGAACTCAATTACAAATCTATATGCATTTGTATTTTAAGAATTTAGATTTTAAAACTGAAAGACAAAAATTAAACTAAAATACGTACCTTAATAAATTTCATACTTCACATTAGCTAGCTAGGCATACCTATCACTTGTGTTGTCACACTCCTTAATTGTGTCAATACGGAGTATAATTTTGTATAGTGGGATGGGATATGAGATTTTAACTTTGGGATAAGTATAATTTAGGATGTTTCTAGATGGAGACTATCTTTGTGATGGCTCTCTATTGCCCTATGGATAGAGAACATTGTGTTTCCTTCTGAGAATACATTTTCATGACTTATTTATTTTCCGTTAAATAGTAACAAATTTTGAATTTATTTATTTACTCAAGATATTATTATTACTCATTATTTATTTACTCAGAATATCATTTATTTATTTATTCATTGGATTTATTTGACATCCTGTGATTGATCCCGGTCGAACAAAAAAGTGACAGCCCAAGGAGGAACAGCATTATTTCTTGTGGTTCCAATAAGACACGACCGGAAATTACAAAATTTAGACTTCGTGAACAGCATTATTTCTCGCGGCTATAAAATTCATCTAAATTTACTCTTTGGGATATGTTAAATGAACAATTCTAACTTGAATAGGACTAAAACATAAGTCATTTTCTAATATAGGACTTAAATTTTTATATTCTGTAAATAGAACTTAATAATGACTAACGAGAAGAATAATGTCCAATATAATATCCAAGTGATGCTGGACATTTAGTTGAATAATGACTAATTGATAATGACCAATAGTCTTATATTGGAAAATAAAAACATATGGTCTTATATGGAGAAAGTCATTATGTTTAAGTTCTATTTAGGTAAATTAACCTTTTAACTTTGATACTAATTTGTTTATATCTAATATCTCTCTCTTTTCAATTTTAAAGGGTAAATTGTATATTTTCTATAAATTGAATGGATTTAGTCAAAATAGAAAAGGATATAGTGTGTTCAAAAAAAATAAAATGATGTTGTTAGAGTCTATCCCACATCGGAAAGTTGAATAGAAAAGTTATCGGTATATAAGCTCTTGAGTTTAACTAACTAATCGATTGGATTCAATCTTTTAATGTGCTTCAACCCAAGTGTCTTATTGCCGAATTCAGTTGTCCATACCCCAACCTAAATTCTATCAGATGTAGCAACACCTATATGTATATACTTTATCCCTCTCATCATAATAATGTTTGTTTTAGTTTTTTATTACGATGTAAAATTGAAGTTATTTTCGATTTAATTTAGGATTGGTGTAAAATTAAGATACAAAACTTTTATACGTATTTAAAATTTAATCAAAAAATTTTACAAAACAAACGAAGTGGTGATAAGATTATTTTATTTATTTTATCAAATGATCAATGAAAATATGTAAAGAAAGAAAATATAGTATGAACTTGTGAGTAGTTAGAGAAGTATTATTATGTGAGACTAACTTAAATGAGTATCATTATAATGGAATAATGAAATGGTATGATATAACACATCATTATAATGTAATCATAGTATTTTTAGTTTATTACAATATTAACATATAAAAGTAATAAAATCAATCACAATTTTTTATTTAAAATATTCCAACACCGGGAGAGCCTATATTGTACATCTGGGTGTACTTAGAACTAGGTACATCCAACAAATATTCATTTTGAATCAACATAGTGTTTATTCTGAAGTAATGTATTGCTGATAAATTTAGGATGGAGTATGGACAACTAGATTGGGTAATAAGACACTTGAGCTGAACCACATTAAAAGATTGAATCCAATCGATTAGTTAGTTCAACTCTAGAGCTTATATACCGATTATTTTCTCTTGGATTTTTCCGATGTGGGATGTACTCTAACAATTGCTCATTCCGAATCTGCTCAGCATAGTGTGTTTATTGAATAATTAAATAGTTGCATTATTCCAGAAATAACAGAATACATGTCATAGGATATAAATATGTATATAATTATATATAAAGGAGATTATAATCATACTATGTAACTAGGAATGAAAATCAACAATAGAAGCTGACTAAAATACAAAGATTGTCATAATAATAATTATTATTGTTTAGCAGTGTTATTCTCAAACAACAAAATGTTCATTCTAAAAAGTGTTTAATTACAATTTGTTACGATGTATGGTACATCCAGCTGTATCATATAATTTGCACAATTACTCTATAAATTTCGCCATCTAATTTATCTTATCATTTGAAAATATATTTTTATTGAAATAATTTTTGTTAAATTATATTTTAATAATTTTTCTTAAAATTTTCATAGAAATGTTATTGTTCAAAATTTGGGTGCAAAGAATCACATGTGGTTATAAATTTATGGGTAAAGAGGTCCAATCTGTTTGGAGTTGGAAATTTGTTACACCGTATATATAAAAAAAAACAAGCACTTGCGATGACTTTGTGGGAGTCAAAATCACACCTATGGAAAAGGATTGTTTTTGGTCATAAAAATATCTAATGAAAATGCAATAACACATCATCGTCTAAACTATGGGAGGAAAAAGCCTCCCTCTAAATGTATGTAGCACTATTAATTTGTCCAAACAATTTTAGAGACAATTGTTACCTATAAGATATTATAAAATGATAAAATGATTCTGAAATGGGGAATGATAATCATCTTACTCGAAATATTTGGTCAATTTTTTTTGACCGTAGGCCAAAATCAACTAAACTTGAGTGGTTCAATTGATGGGGGTGAGGTGGTCAGTTTAGGTCAATGTCATGTTATGACATTTGACTCTAATTTTTTTTAAAAAAAGAAGCAAACTCAAATTTAAAAAAAAAGAAGTAATTTTCAGATTCCAAAAGAGGGGGTAAATGGTTCAATACCCCCCATAGTAAATACCAGGCCGCATGTAAATGCAGTTGCCGCTAGAGTACCAACTGGAGTGCACATTTTGGAATTGGGTGTGTAACACCATGATGATTTCTTTTTCTTTTGTGAGATTTCGTCAACAATAATGCAACATTTGGCTTTTAGGTTCTTTCACATTTAATGTCCTCATCATTATCCATGTAATAATAACTAATGTGAATTAGTATAAATTAAGCTTTGAAAATATGAATAATAATAATATCCCTCGAGCTATAGTCTCATGTCATTGTTTCCAAGTGTGAGCAGTTTGACCACCCTCCCTCCACACATTCACTCATTCGTTTGCTGATCACGCCTCCTTTCAAGTTGTGCAATACACTTTTTTACTCAGATCGTCCCGCTTACCACGTACATGGTACGTGGTCAAACCCCAATCACCCGCCAACATGGCTCTAATTGAACTGATCCCAATGACTTTCATTTGTGGTACATCGAGTGTTGAATAATACTGACATATATCATGTATATATTCATTTATTATTTGATGTCTGATTAAAGTTATTATTGATGATTTGTAAATGTCATCAAATGAGCGTATATATAGTTTTTTTAAATAATGAGCATGTGTTATTTTAAATTGTTAAAAAATTAATGTGTTAAAATAATAACGTGTTTCTTGTAATATGTACATTTTAAATGCGCGCTCTTGTATAAATGCGATGATCAATATGCAATTATATATCAAATGTGCATACATATGTTTTATAATACGAACATCTTGATTTTATTAAATTCAAAAAATTAAATGAGTATTATTAGCTTGTAAATGTAAATTTTGTATAAACATGATGAATATTATACAATTCTAAATTGTGCACAAATGTTATGATGTCCATTTTTTGAGTAAATACCCAAAAAATAAGTACGTGAATAAATACTGTGTTACTTGTAAATAAGTATATGTCGTATATAAGACAAATATTTCATATTTTGATGTAAATATAGAGGCTCTACCTACTTATCCATTTCAAAGCGTTTCTATTATGTTCAGGGCATATCTCAACTGGTTAAGGAGGAACAAATTTGCAATAAAGAACGAGGTTCAATTTCCACATTATGTAATGTGAGAGCAACATTCTTGAACCCCATTTTGGCTGAGTTTTAAGAGTGGTCCCTTGTAGGCTTGTGGGCGATACTCTCACTTAACGAGTCACTGAATTCTTGATAATTTATCTTTGTCCATCTCCATTGTTTAAATGTGAGTTCAGCTTTTTTGGTTCACATTTTACGCAAAACCAAAGATCGAATCAAAAGTAAAAGTTAGGTTCGTTTGGTTCAATTTTACATAAACAATATGTAAATTGTTGGTCGATCAATTTAGTTTTTCACGGTTTGGTTCTTGATTTTTTTGGGTTTTTTATTTTTTGAAAAACATTTTTCAAAATAAAAAATTAAAAGTGTGTTGTATAAAAATTTAGAAAAAACATTCTAACATATGTAAATATGAAAAAATGTGTTTAATAGAATTGAAAAAAATAAAATATATAATGCAAATATGTAAAAGATCAATTATTTAAGTTTATATTATTTAAGTTATTATAGCATTTATATTCTTTGATTTGTTTTATTTTTATCATTTATATTAAAATGGCGTGATTTTGGAAAGTATGATTTATTTGGTTCATTTTGGTTTCACAGGGTGAAAACCAAAACCAAAACCGTACACTAATGGTTTGGTTCGATTTTTCAATTCTCTCATTTAGTTTTGGTTTTTTACGTTTCATTTTTTATAGCTCGTTTCGATTGATTTTAATTTGAGTTTCAGTTTTTGGTTTTCCGAACTCACTCCTAACCTCGTTATGCTGGGATGTGGTGGGCCCTTCAAATTGGAGATTCAACCTTTTTTTGCAACAAACAAAATGTTTCTTTTAATTTTTCAAAACTACTTGAGTTAAAATGAAAAAAAAAAAAAGAAAAAACAGGGAAGTGGCTAGCACGTGGCAAGGGCAAAAAGGAGAATTGCATTTGGAGTTTCTGTCACGTGCGATGAGCACTTATATGAGCCAAGGAAGGCTTGGGCAGGACTTCGGCGGAGGGCCAAATGTATTCAATTCGTTGGCACACTTCTTGACGTCTTGTTTCTCATTATTTTGTTTTTCCAAAAAAACAAAAAAATTTAAAATTAATTTTTCTATTTATACATTTATTCCCCCTAATCCGTCCGTATATTATCATTGCCATTGCCTCTGAACATCTTTTCCCTATATATATAAAACTATACGCTGCGTAAGGGAAATTGAAATTCTATCTTCTCGCCTCGAGTCCTTTGAGGATCTGAAGAAGAAAGAAAGTTCATACATTTCTTGAGTGAGAGAATCAAAAAATGGAGGGCGAAATGAAGGCTTCGAGATTCAAGAGGATTTGTGTGTTCTGTGGGAGCAGCCAAGGGAAGAAGAGCAGTTATCAGGACGCTGCCATTGAAATCGGCAAAGAATTGGTATTCTTTATTCCCTTTTTTCGATGGTTTTTGTCCAAAAATGTCGCCTTTTTCCTATGTTTCTTTGTCCGTTCTTCTCTGGTGTTGTCCTCTTGTGCTGGGGTGTTCATAAAGATTCTGTTTTCACGAGGATTCTTGGGTTAAAAATGGGACCTTTTTGGCTATGGGTTTTTTTGAGACATTTAATGAGTTTAATCCCATTGTGTTGGTTCATCAACATGTGAGAATCATCACTCTTCTCTGTTTTTCTTTTTCATTTTTACCAAACCTTACTTGAGTGGTTTTATGGGGCTTTTGGAGCATAAAGGTGACATTTTTATGTGAAAATTGAAAAGTGGTCAATCTTGAAAGGTAGTTTGGTGAAACCCCAATTCCTCATTGAAGAAAAAGCTTTGTAACTTTAGGCTGATGTGGATTTGTTATCACTTCTGAAGGTTTCAAGAAACATTGATTTGGTGTATGGAGGGGGCAGCATAGGGCTGATGGGCCTGGTCTCACAGGCTGTTCATGATGGTGGTCGCCATGTTATGGGGTCAGATTCTATGCATATTGCTTTATTTCCATTTCAATCTTTAATTTTATTTTACCAAGTGTCCCTTTCCAAATTCCAAATCCTGCTTTGTAATTAGTGTTGGCTTTTTTTTAATTTCAAAATGTTAAAGTTAAATCTAACTGTTGGATAACTTCTTTTAAAACACTAATGAAAGAAAGGGGATAATCAAGAAACATGGTTTAACAGTAATGTGTTTTGTCTCATGGGTTAAGTTGTTATTTTTCTCTCTTTCTGAGAAACTAATTTTTGTTGTCATCTTACTGTTTGTCTGCAGAGTTATTCCCAAGACGCTCATGCCCAGAGAGGTATGTCTGTTATGTTCTGGATAAGTGTTTTTCCTTTCACTGTTAATTTCAATTTCTAGTAATTAAAAAAAGGCCTTATTTTAAACTTAGTAAACTCTGTTAAGGGTTCACTACATTTTCTGGAGGAGTATTTTATTAACTTTTGATTTTTTTGGAATTTTTTTATTTTTTTATAGTCATGTCTACTTTATATGGTACTTTTGGCAGCTAGTGGTTTTACCAATGAAGAGATTTTAGGTCCAAATTAAATGTTTTTCTGTCTCTCCCCCCGTATTAGTTTGTCTTAGTTTATATACAGAGTATACATTATTATAATTATTCAATATTATTATACTTTTGGTCTTTTTCTTGTCTTTTTGTGTGGAACAAAATTATTGGTATACACAAACATATGTAGCTGTGGATTAAGTCCACTGCACAGTGCAGCCACAGCCTTGTATGTTGAAGGGTCAATTTTGTAATTTTAAAATTTTGTTTCCTTTTGGGCTGGTTGCTTTCACAGTTGACTGGTGAAACAGTAGGGGAAGTGAAGACTGTTGCAGATATGCATCAAAGAAAGGCAGAGATGGCTAGACATTCAGATGCCTTTATTGCCTTACCAGGTTTGGTCTTTGTTCTGTCACTTTTGAGCACTTATATTGTTAATTAGGCAAATTATCAGAAAAGCAAAAAAAAAGGTGTATTTCAATGAAAGCAACTGTGGGTTGAACTTAATGAAAGGCTTAAATGACCCAAAGACCCTTCAACATCTTGGGGATTGAGCAGTCAAAATCCCAAGGTTCAGTGTTGATGACACATCAACATCCTGCACTGAAAATCACACCCTACTTATTCCTTCATTGTCATAAGTAGAAGGAAATGATGAAAATTGCAGACCTTTCACAAATCTGGTATTCTTAACTTGCTGCTCTACCTAGCTAGTATCATACATTGTCACTCCTTTCTGGGCATTTCTAGCTTCCCAAGAATACCCCCACCCCTCCCCTGCCCCCCATCCCCTTTCATTCTTCAACCCATGCCACCAAACTTCCTAAAAAATATTTCTTTTCTTATTCTCACAAATTCTTGGAACTCTTACTCTAGTTGAGAGATGAGATGGAGAAGAAGGGCCAAAGTGGGAAATTGGTATTGAATGTTTTCTTGACTGTATAAAACTTCATAATTTGTGAAAGGAATTGTTAGTAACAAAAGCAAAAGACATGAAAGATAGTATCTTTTTTTTTTCAATTCTATGTGAAGAAGTTTAATTGTGTTAATGGTATTACTAATCCATGAAGAGATTTGGCATTAAAAAAAGAAGTGTACCTTAGCTCTATGTGACACATACTCATGCAGGTGGTTATGGCACACTTGAGGAGCTACTTGAAGTGATCACTTGGGCTCAACTTGGCATTCACAACAAACCGGTGCGTTTTGATGCCCACATCTCACATATTTTTTAATTCGAAAAAAAAAGTCATTCTTTCATTGATTATGTGCTTTTAGCAGTAAGACAACACTCTTTGAGACTTGACCATAGCCACAAATTTTGTTTTCTGCAGGTCGGGTTACTGAACGTCGATGGGTACTACAATTCCTTGCTGACATTCATTGACAAAGCAGTGGAAGAAGGCTTCATAAGCCCAAACGCCCGCCACATCATTGTGTCTGCGCCTACTGCCAAGGAACTGGTCAGGAAAATGGAGGTAATTTTCAGTCTTGCTTTGTTATCAAGGTTCCAGTCTGGGTATTCTTGGAAACAGTCTTTTTTTCTTACTAAGTTATGGTTTGGTAAGATGCAAATCATGTAAAGCAAATGAAAGGGGTCTACCAGACAACAAACACCTAAGTGTTCATGAATCATGTTTGGACAATACTATTGTAGATAGGAAAGAATGTTTTAGACCATTCTACTCATCAAGTGGCACAAGCTGTGAACTGAATTTTCTATTTTTTATAACTAAATCCAAACACAACTTCAGGAGTATGTTCCATGCCATGAAGGAGTTGCACTGAAGTTGAGCTGGCCATCATGGCAGGGAGATGAGGGCCATGAAACCCCCCTTGAATTCGCAGCATAGGAACGCTCGTTTCAGTGCAAGAATTAAGATACTGAACCAGCCAGGAGATGCTAACCTCAAATTCCTAGATATTTTTGCTGTGGAGGGGTTCTTTTTTTATTTTTTTATTTGTATATTTAGTGCTTGAAAAATCAGATCTTGCATTATATATGGCATATAATATAAATATATATATATGGTTTATCCTAAGTCCCTCTCATGAGGAAGTGAAAGTCATGCTTTTTTGTGCAAGAAAGCTGTAACTAAGTACTTAGATGCAATTCTGAAATTCCCTCCATTAGTGTTTACTCAATATCAAGCTGTTCAATTCTTGGTTGCAAATTGTAGTTTATAAGGCTGTGTGTCTTTTCTTAGAGTATTGTTTATTTCCTTGTTCCAAAAAAGTGAAATCGCTCATCCTGGGCTCCCTGTCCAATGAGATTGAATTGTGAGAGGTGGTAAAAAACGGTGACACAACCGGCTACAGAGATTGGAACCAGTGCTCACTATGCACAAGAAGCCCCCCTCATTTTTCGAGAGGTTGCTCCCACACTACCGCTAGTGAGTCTCGATCTTTGATCTTTTGTTTTAAATTCTAAATCTAAGACCAGTTGAGCTGCCCATAGAGTAATGTACCAAACTAGATATCTCAAACTCTTTGAAAGTCCCAATTTACTTTTTTATTCTTAACAAATTTTTTAGAATGCGTGAAGTTAATGATTGAAATTTAGTCCCTGTCTCATATCTTCTAGTGTTTTGACTTGGTAGACTTGTTAATAATTTAATGTAAGATGAAAAAAAAATTTAACTTTTCATTTTGTCAATCGTTGTGTAATACTCCGTAAATTAAAGAGAGATGCAAAAGGAGTATTTGAGTTGTAAAAATGTGAATAGTTTTTTCATTTTAAGAATAGAGAAAGAAGGATATAGAACCACCCCCAAGAAAATGAGAATACATATATGGGGGGATGGAGAGAGTATTTTTGGACATTGATTCCATACTTTTTTCTCTTTCTAATTATTGGTGAATTTCATATCATTCTACATCACGTTCGATTTTTAAAAAAAAATACCCCGATAAGTTTACCTGATAATATAGGCTAACAATAGCTCAAAAGAACACCAAAACCTTGGAATTTTTTTATTGCTATTCTAACAACGACTACAAACAATTGAAACGGACACGCCAAATTGTCCCATCTCTCAAGAGAATATATACAACTATATAAAGGGCTGGTTCTTTTCACATGATTTGGAATAGTTTGCAATACAAACTTCGATATATTCCGATAATACGTAGTAGTACTCTCAATATTTTTATAATTCTAACAAAAAAATATGAAATTTAGAATGAACGTATGAGTCTCGTAACACGAACATGAAAACTATTCCATTTATTCATATTTAACTGATCATTATAATTTTTGTGATACATCAGGCGTCAAATGTATGTCTACATTCATCCTGCTTTCGGTGCATCGCTAAAATCATAATGATGTAGTGTAGTACATAACAGAGGCACTAAGTGTTGTTTGGCAACATATATGTAGTATTTAAATTGTTAGGTGGTTGTGGTTTTTGTTGTGATGCAATTAGTTGGTTTAGTTAGGAGGTTGTCATATATACATACATTTATATAGCTCCAAGTAATGATGAACAATGATAGTAGGCCAAGAAAGGCATATAGAATGAGACAGAAGGGAATAGTTGAGGACAGTACAAATTAGCCTAATTTTGTCCCAAACTCTGAAATGCCAAAATATTCACTTTCCTTTTTTGGCCATGCCCTCCAACCACAAGAAGAAGAAGCTAAGGTCAGGCCCCTCTCCCTTCCCCTATTTGCCTTTTTTTTTCTTTCGGTCAGCTCTGTTGCTGCCCGGATAATCATCAATGGCTGTACTGTTTTATTTGTTTTTGTGGCTGAAACATTACAAAGAAAAAAAAAACAATATACATCTCAGTAGTGGTATTAGCACATCTTGCATCTTTTGATTTTTCATTTGGTGCCTTAACCACCTCGTTTGTAAGGGCACATGTATGTACCCGCAGTTAAAGGGTGTCCGCATGCATCTACGGTTTTGGTACATGTCTATACGAGCTCATGAGTCATGTTACAAAAATAATTTAATAAGTAGCTTATAAGTTAAAAACTATTTATAATAAATAAACTAATAGTAAGGACAACCACATATTCTAAAACTAAATTTGAAAAGGAATCTAATGAAGTTGATTATAGAGCAACAACAAAAAATATAGAGAAGGGTGCAGAGAAGAGAAACTAAAAAGAGGGGCCTCATCTCTACTTGTTCAAGTGGCCCGGAAAGGGAAATAATGCTTATGCAATATGTTTGCCCACATAGATCTTATAACTTCTTTTGACTTAGTGAATTTTTTTTCACTTTTACAAAGTTTAAAAATGTGAAAGTAAAAATTTTATGATTAAAATTTGTTTAGAAGTGATAGAAAGAGTTATGTGTCATTTATTTATTGAGCAAGATTCCGTAGACACTGACATGCAATGTCAACAGATGATATTTACTCATTGAAGCTACTCCGGGTTCCGTTCGCGAAATTGATAGTCCCAGATATTGTATCTTCTTTTTAAATATATAATAGTGGAGTTCATATTTTTATACTTCAAAAAAGAATCATCAATTATAACTAACATAGAAGAAAGTCTTTTTTGTGATATTTGGATCTACATTCATTTCATAAAGCTCATTATATGGACACCATGAAAATATTGAGCCTTTTTCATAAACCTCATTATATGGACCTCAAGTAGATGTTTAGATCACAATTTTACATGAAATTCCTTTTTCGTGTCTGCCTGTGAAGTGTAGTAGTACATTCTGTGTTCCCCTAGAGAACTACTCCGTAACTTCTAAAATTCAAAAAATAACACTTACCAGACTCATAATCGCTAGTTCAAAACACTCCGTCCCAATTTAAATCACTTGTTTTGATTTACAATGTTTGACTAAATTATTTTCAAATCATTTTATATGAAAAATATCGTAGAATAAAAAAAATAAAAATTACAACACGTTTAAAAATTACATTAAAAAATCTATAAAACTAGTGGTAACATACATATCTTATTTCACTAAGGTTCCTATGACATTGTTCGGCAATGTAATTGGATGATCCAGGGGTACTCCGATGCACCGTTCGTAAAATTGATGGTTCCTACTCCCTCTAACCCCCCAATAAACCCTCCACCCCGCTCCCGACCCGAACACACCCCCTTCAATTGCACCCCACAAGTTGATTTTGACTTTGGAGTCAAAATCAATTTGTGGGATACAATTGATAGGAGGGTGTGTTCTAGTCGAGACAGGGTGAGGGGTTTACCGGGGGTAAGAACCGTCAATTTTACGAACAGGACACCGAAGCACCCCCGGGTCATCTCATGACATTGAATTCCAATGTCATGGAAACCCCACCCTAAAACAGTGGGGTTCTAGTGACACCAGAGTACGGTGACACTCCGGTGCCACTATCATTTTGGGATACTTTCGGTGGTCCGTTCGTAAAATTGACGATTCCTACCCCTAACCCACCTCTTAAAACCGCCGCCCTACCCCGGCCCTGCACCCCACTCCAACCCCGCCGTAAACTCCTTACAAAATATGTGGCTATTATGGATTGCATAATAGCCACATATTTTGTAGGGGGCTTACGACGAGGTCAGAGAGGGTGCAAGGACAGGGTAGGATGGGAGGTTTGAGGAGTGAGGTAAGAGTAGGAAATGTCAATTTTACGAGCAAACCACCGGAAGTGTTCTAAAATGATAGTGGCACCCGAGTGTCACCATACTCCAGTATCACTAGAACCCCAATTTTATTAAAATTTTATATCCAAAGTCTATATCTAAAAATGAACCTAATTACATTAAGTTTATATCATTGGGTTCTATTAAAATTTTATATCCAAAGTCTATATCTAAAAATGAACCTAATTACATTAAGTTTATATCATTCCTAAATATAAGCTTGTTACAGTTTATGATCACAATTTATAGGGATTTCACTAAGAAAACTTAAATGTAAACTTTTTTTTTTGTAAAAAACAGAATTTCTTTCCTCACATACAATTATAAGTTTTTCCATTAATTATTACACCATTCGTCCCATATCATTTTTTCCATTGCACAAAACGAGATAAAATCTCAACATTTTTAAATTTATTTTATTTAAATATCGATAAAGAAATACAAAAAATAGAACAAATACTCCCTCCGTCCATTTTTAATGTTCGTACTTTCCTTTTTAGACCGCCCATAAATAAAGTTTACGTTTCCTTTTTTGGCAATCTTTTTCATATCAAAAGACGTAACTACCCTTAATCCTTCTCTTTTTCCTCCACTCTCCACGCCATCCCCACCCAACCTTTTCTCATCTTTTTTTTTCTTTTTTCTTCTCTTTTTTCTTCTTTCTCTCTTCTCTGTTCTTTCCTTCTCCATTCCAGCGGTGCATTTTTTCTCTTTCTTCTCCCCTCTCCCCTCTGTTTCTCCAATCTTCTTTCCCCTCTGTCTTTTCTTTTCTTTCTTTTTCCAGATTTCTTCTTCTCTATTCCCTTCTTCTTATCTCTTCTCTTCTTTGTTCTCCTCCTCCTCCTCCTCCTCCTTCGGATTCTTCGTCTTCTTCTTCGGATTCTTCATTTTCCTTTTCGGATTATTCGGATTTGGTCCAGATCTTAGAAATATAATTCAGATCTACAAAGGATTTTAGGACCGAAAAAGGATCTTCCTCTTCCAGCCTTCTTCATCTTTTTTAATTTTTTCTAAACTTTTCTGCAATGGATCGCCGGAATCTCTGATTTTGGAATGATAGAGTTGGGTGGAAGGCTATGCCGGCAATTGAAGATGGGAGTGGGGCGATTGAAGATGGGAGTGGGTGACCGTATAGTGGGGCAGGGAAAGGGGTGAGGGGTATAATTGGAAAGTCAATGTAAAATTTAACATTCCTTAATCTTCGTGCCGGGTCAAACTCTGAACATTAAAAATGGCCGGAGGGAGTATTTTAGAAAATGTCAAAAATTCAACAAAATAAATAGTGACAGGAATATTTTATTTTATCATATAAACCATGAAAAATGTTAATATATCAAACTTCTCGTAAATATGAAATAGTGCACTCTGAAGAAATATATAGGACAGAGAGTACTTAATTTATAAATATTAAAATGTACAGAATTCACATCTCGTCGTCCCGACTTGTCATGTTTTACCACTACAATAAATACGGCCAACCTTTTGCACTTCATCTTTTAAAAAAATAAAATTTTACTCCAAAATACGAATAGAAAACTATAGAATTAATTCAGTGAAGTAATTACATGAGGCAATGCAATATACAATCAGAAACAATAGCATTAGAAAATGTAATATACAATCAGTAACAAGTAAGGCTGTTCATCGGTCTAGGACCGGACCGGACCGACCCGAACTAAAGACCGATTTGAAAAATAGTAAGGACCGAAGACCGGACCTATAAGCATTCGGTTTTAGACCGAACCGGACCGAACCGATAAGAATTAAGAGATCGAAATTGCACTAGCAATCTAGGCTAACACACTATTGCTGTAAAAAATGCAATAGAACCCAACCAAGAAACGTAGAGCGAACTTCAAATAGCAGTACTTTACAGAGACAATAGCCCATTTAAACAACCAACCTTAACATTTAGCAATAAAAATGCAAAATTAAAAAAATGGAACAAATAACCTAATGTTATAGAAGAGCAAATTCGAAAATTAGAAGTGAAATAGGGATATCAAAATGAGAGGCCGTCTAGAATTTGTGCGAATCTAACTTCGATTGCGACTAAGAAACAAAGGGTGAGTGGATATTTGTGTCATAGTAATGGGAAGAGATTGAATTGTTGTATAGGATCCAAAAGTGCATCTTCGGGGATACATAGAAATGGAAATTCAGCTCACTTTAGGAAGTGATGCAGTGCTCTACCCTACAAGTCATGGAGATCGCCGGTGAATAACTCAGATTGAGTGTGGATGCAGGGTGAGACTGGAAACTCCTAAAGGATATGCAGAGAAGATGATAGATTTGGGTAGATGAGAGCTGAGTGGTGACCGAATAGACTTTTTTGTATAATCGGTCCTTCGGTCCAGACCTAAATGATATCGGGTTTGGACCGGACCGAACCCTAAATCTTTAAAAATCCTGGACCTAAGACCGACCCGAAATGCTTTCGGTCCGGGTTTGGTCTGGACCTATAGGTCCCAGTTCGGTCCGGACCTAATGATGAACACCCCTAGTAACGTACAATGGCAAGTAACCATCAGAAAACAATGCTAAAATAGCTTATATCTTTTCTTTTTTAAGGGGAAAAAAAGATATTAGCAATTTTTACCACTGGGGGCATATGGCCTAGTCCCGGGAGGGTCAAGGGTTTAGTCCCAGCAGAATTAGGAAGGATTAAGTGAATTATTATATGGTTGGTTGAAACAAGAATAGAACAAACCTCAGCGGTACGATAGATAGTCGATGAAGCAATAACTCTTTCTCCTTGGCAACTTCAAGTGGTCCCCTTATCGTTGCAACGATAAGGACCTTGATCAGGTTCGTTAAATATCCTTGGAGACAGCTGCTGGCGAGAGGTTGCAGTAACGTTGATCCGGAGCCTCAAATTGAAATGACATGGAACGCCAAATCCTCTAACCTATCTGTCTCCTCAAGAAAGATCTGTCGAAAGTAAAGTAAAAAAAGAAAAAAATCAAATACCAGATGGATTCATCATCACTATCAAAGCATGGATAAACTAAAAGGGAGCATGTACACCTATCTACGCAAGACAACTCATTGCCAGAAAATGTACTTCACAATGACAAGTGAAGCCAATAACTCAAAACGATGCCAAAAATACTGAATGTACAACACCCAATGCCAAGTTTAGCATCACAATGTCAATACCAAAGTTGTAGAAAATACTGCCAACATCACACTGCCAAGATAAACTAAATTAAAATCTGTAAAAAAAATAATGCCACAATTCTACATTAATTGTCAAAAACTTAAAAATAATATAGTGCCAAGCAAAGCCATAATGCCAAAAAAACTACACTTATAGTACTATATAATGTCAAACATGTCAAAGCATAATGTTGAAAATTATATAAAATGTTAAAATCATTGTAGAATGCAAATGTGCAATTCTAACATGCACTTCAAAATGCCAAATTCTGGAATGCCAAGTGCCAAGTAATGTCAATAACAATGCCATGTCAAACAATAATCCCAAAAAATAATGTCAAAATGCCAACTTTTGCTGGCGTAAAAAATGCCATGAATGTTCGGATCTAGTTCTTGACGTCAGAACAAAAGCAAAGACAAGAGAAGAAAACGGATTCAGAATTCAAATTACCGAGGGAACTATCTGATCTGCAAAAACTTTGATCTCATTACAAGCCGGATCAATCTTCATGTGTATCTTAACATCTCAGACTCCTCATCTTCATGTGTATCAGATTGCCTCTAGCACTTGTCCCACCAACACACCAATCTCAACATTGCAGACCCATAACAAATGATTGAAAAAATAACCATATTACGAAATAGCATATAATCCACACAACTATCTCCCTGCATATACGTAGGACTACCCATCTATCTATAATAAGAACTAGGCTCAACTCCTAATTAATCCCTTCTTAACTATAAATGATTTCACTCCAACTTAAATCTACTAGTAATAAGTTCCCTCCAATATAATTAAAAAGAATGAAACAATACTACTCATGGATGTATGCTGTGGGAGTTCAACTCAATAAAAGCCAGATTTATTCGAATTTATGATTTTGGATTATAGAAAAAATCAAAATCACAGTTCGTCGTGGGAGGAACCCTACCTAATGTTGACCCGGAGCCTAATATTTGTTAAACGCCATACACAGCTCTAGGGGGGTTGAATAAAGGTGTTCACGAAATAAAGCAAATTTTTCGCAAGGCCAATGAAACATATTCAGTCAAACTGCAGGAACTTAGTTGGCTAAATATAGATCTAGTCGACTAAATGAGCCCAACTATGCTTCTGAAGAACCCAGTACTTTTTCAACTAAACATGTATATGTTTGTTATTATTCAACTGAACATTAGTTTATTTGAATAAGTCAGCCGGACTCCTGAGGCCAGCCCTAAATATGTTTGTCATTACCAAAACACAAAAGTCAACATATTGAAATGACACATGACTCCAATTCCTCTAACCTATATCTCCTCTAGAAAGATCCATGAACACTGAAGTAAAAAAACCAAATACCAGATGGAATCATCATCACTATCAAAACATGGATAAACTAGAAGGAAGTATGTATCTATCTACGCAAAAAAGCATTAATTGCACATATTGGATTCATAGGAACGAGATTCCAACCAAATCAGCTGGCGGGTAAGTGGGAACTAACTATCATTGTGTGAGAATATATGTGCATTGCAACAGCAGCGTAGGGAAGAATTCCCTAATTTCAGTTGACAGTTTTTACAATGTGGAATGAATGAGAGGGGGAGGAACGAGCTAGCTAAACCAGCATTTGCTAGCTTTTTTGGTAACACATTTTACCAAGAGCAGCAAATACAATACAACCATAGACTCATAGTAGTAGCAGAACACCATATGGAATATAATGTTTTCAAATAACAAAACCCGCCAGTAAGCAACGATATATCCACTCTTCTTCTTCTTCAAGAGCGAACCTCCTCATCCTCTTCTGCAACATCTGGTGACTCAACTCTCTCTCTCTTCCAACTCCTTCCACCTCTTCTGCTCTTGATCAGTTAATTGCAACAAATTTACCAATATGCTCCTCTTATCAGCTCCAACTTCAGTCATATCCACGATAATGGCATCATTGCCCCATTCAATGATATTGCTAACCCCACTATCACCATCATAGGATCATTTACCTCTTTGAAAGCTTTAGAGTTTAGCCAATGATGTTAGGTTACCTTTTTTAAAGCTGACTAGTCCTTTATTGACAATCTTATTGAAATCCCCGGGCAATATCTTCTTGTATTTGGGTACCAAGTTAGCTAATGTATCCCAATACCTAGGGAAGCACGCGCAATATGAACATAATAATAGAAAATATTTCAGCACCACAAGACTACGATCATCATCCGATTTCCTTATACCCGACTTGTCCATCCAATTGATCATGTTTTTCGGTTCTCCAAGCTCCATCATAAGCTTTAAAACAGACTCCACAATGCTTTTTTTAAATTCAGATGTTTTGATCTCATGATTGCAATCAGTCATCGATTCCAAAAAAAATTGTCTTCGTGGAAACCATGTGCTTGCAAAAACTAAAGCAGATTAGAAATGCAAGGCATTCCAAAAGATATAGGAAGTGAATAGGTGAGATGTAATCCTGTGGGATTTTTTTTCCTCTTTGCTATCAATGTGTGTTCGAGTGCATCGACAAAGTCATGGATGGTTAGTCGTTGAAACTTCTTAATTCGCTCCGCGCCTTCATGATTGGGAGGCAAAGGGAAAGCACTAAAATGTATGTGTAAAAACGTTCTATATACCAAAGATGGTGGTTTCTAAAGAATGAATTTGATTGATGGTACAAACGATGGGTAGCGGTCAAGTCTTCATACTCTATACTTCAAGCCAAAAAAATCACTCCCAATTTCACTACCAGCTTGTATGATGCCTTATAAGAAAGGAGAGCCACAAGTTTCTTGAGTATAAGACTAGAAACCGGTAAATGCCCGAGTAGTATCATCTCAACTTTAAGGGATTTCCTCTAGTCGAGCGAAAACATACTATCAAAGTAGAGAAGAGACGAATCCTGAATCATTTCCCCAAGCATCCTTTTCTCATTTGGAGGAATTCTCACAAACTTGGACTCCATAATGGAAGTGGCAACCTCAAAAATTTGTGTAAGAAGCTTCCTATGGTAGAAATTGGATTTTGGAAGAGCACTACTACGCAACAAACTATCAAGAATCTGCACTACTTTCATATCAAGTTTAACCAATTCTGAGTCCCAATATGTTTTGGCTGTGAAAATAAGACGATGGAACCACAGTCCATCTTCCGCTCCCCACTTTCCTTTCCCAATCAGCATTGGGGTTCAGCACGGTATAGCACGGTATAGAATGGTTCAAAACTTGTATTGTAATGCTTTAGAACCCCTTAGTAACTAAAGTTAAACTCAAACTCGGAGTTGTGTTTGTGCTTGCTCTCATGCATACGTTCAAGACATTGAATAACATATTGAATTTTCTCCTTCCAAAGGTTCCAAGAGTCAAGAGTAGATCAGTGTTTCTACAAACACCTTATTTTTAGAAAGTTTCTCTTCAGTATACTCCTTCAAATCATAAACTAAAGAATCTTCAAAGGAAAACTTTGACAAATTGGTCTTAGGCTTAAATGTATATCTAGAAGTGCCCGAGTGCACAATACCTCACCCCTTAAACTCCCGACTGCCTTGGAATCACACGAGAGATTTTGCACTTCACTCAACCTGCTATCATTTCCAATTACATATTTGGGTAAGGATGGTTCATCCGCTTGAGCGAACATCGCGTACAATTTTGCTTTTGACAATAGGCCATCCTTCTAATCGCATCCACCTCCCCAAACAGAGTTAAACAATACGTACTCAAGGATGGACAGTGATGCATCTTTGTAGTTTTTAGCCTGCACCAACATGTTCACCTTTCAACTTTGCTACTCTTGCTGCCTCCACAAAGTTCCCTGACTCTTTCTCCAAACAGAGAAGTTTGTCTAGGTATTCCAATCTCTCAAACAACTTCCGTTTTGCATCTTCTAACCTCATGAAATTGACATACAACATCATGTTGGCACGGTCCCCTTTCTCATGATAGAAGCATATTGTCCTCTCGAAGAATTTCCGCTGAATTTCGTCCATGTCCAATCTCTCACTCATTTCTGTGTTTTCAGCAAAAGAGGTGCCATCAGCAGTGCATAAATCAAGAGAAGGATCTGTATCCCAATCCTTTGATGCTTCAAGATACCTGAGGAGAGAAAAGAAATCAAACAGAAACTATAAGTGACTTACCGAATAAATAAAGTGGAGGACAGAGTTCATCTTATAGGTGCACACCCTTCACGAGATCCTTTTCTTCTCATTGATGTTCAATGATGGCATTACAAATATCTTTGTAGGCACACAAGTGAGCTTCAAACTGAAGGTCTCCCTTCTAACCTCATTTCATTCCCCAAAATCCACATACAATACCTGCGTTAAGGCATCAGAAACTTAGCATTTTTTTGCATATGAAATGACGTTAAAAGGGAGGCCTTGAGCTCACTCATGTGTGATGCCACAGCCCGCAGATTAGTTTTTGATGCCGCTGCCGACGAAGATATTTGTAATGCTATCATTGAACATCAAGGAGAAGAAAAGAAGAGATCTCATAAAGGGTGTGCACCTATAAGATGAAATCTGTCCTCCATTGTATTTATTCGGTAAGTCACTTATAGTTTCTGTAAACTGAAAAAACTGAACCTATTTGATTTTTTTTCTCTCCTCAGGTATCTTGAAACATCAAAGGATTAGGATGCGGATCCTTCTCTTGATTTATTCTCTTGATTTATGCACTGCTGAAGACACATCTTTTGCTGAAAATACAGAAATGAGTGAGAGATTGGACATGGACAAAATTCAGCAGGAATACTTAGAGAAGACAATATGCTTCTATCATAACAAAAGGGACCGTGCCAACATGATGCTGTAAGTCAATGATGCAAAACGAAAGTTGTTGGAGATATTGGAATGCCTAGACGAACCTGTGTATGGAGAAAGAGTCAGAGAACTTTGTGGAGGCAGCAAGAGTAGCAAAGTTGAAAGGAGATCTCCTTGGTCATCTGACATGTTGGTGCAGGCTAAAACTACAAAGATGCATCACTGTCAATCCTTGAGTACGTATTGTTTAACTCTGTTTGGGGAGGTGGATGCGATTAGAAGGATTACCTATTGTCAAAAGCGAAATTGTACGCGATGTTTGCTCAGGCGGATGAACCATCCTTCCCAAAATATGTTAACACTGAATCTGCTTTTCTGGTAATTAGAAGTGCTAGCAAGTTGAGTGAAGTGCAAAATCTCATGTGATTCCAGGGCAGTCGGGAGTTTAAGGGGTGAAACCAATTTAAGCTTGAGACCAATTTGTCAAAGTTTTCCTTTGAAAATTCTTTAGTTAATGATTTGAAGGAGTACACAAAAGAAAAACTTTCTAAAAATAAGGTATTTGTAGAAACAATGATCTACTCTTGCCTCTTGAAACCTTTGGAAGGAGAAAATTCAATATGTTATTCAATGTTTTGAACGTATGCATGAGAGCGAGCACAAACACAACTCCGAGTTAGAGTTCACCTTTAGTTACTTATGGGTTTTGAAGCATTACAATAAGAGTTCAGAACCATTCTATACCGTGTTGAACCCCAATGTTGATTGGGAAAGGAAAGTAGGGAGAGATGGACTGTGGGTCCATCGTCTTATTTTCACAGCCAAAACATATTGAGGCTCAGAATTGGTTAAACTTGATATGGAAGTAATGCAGATTCTTGATAAAATTGATAGTTTGTTGCGCAGTAGTGATCTTCCAAAATCCGATTTCTACCACGGGAAGCTTTTGTCACAAATTTTCGAGGTTGCCACTTCCATTATGATGAATACAGAGCAATCAAAACACAATCACCATTAGACAAAGAAAATTATCAACTACTACAGTACATACATTCAATGATACATAGAACAAATTCAACCTCAGCGGTATAAAAGTCAATGACGCAATAACCCTTCTCCGTAGCAACATCAAATGGACCTTGACCAGGTTTGTCCTTCGAGAGAGTTGGTGGGATGTTGCAAATAATGCAGCGTTCCCCAGATGAACTACCCTCTTCTGCCATCATTTTCTGCCTACGAATTAAGAGGTGCAGTGCAGTGCACGAATTAATGGTTTTCAAGTAAGTGATCAACGCAATGTTATCAATCTCCATCATAGTTGTTACAGCGACTGTGCGAGGCCGGGCGCTAGACCAGCTTCCAGATGCCTAGGCGATTAGGCTCCCCCTAGGCGTCCCTTGGGCGAGTGGGATATGGCAATATTGATAATTTTTTAGGTCCTAATGTAAATGTGTATAGTATGAAATAAGTAAATAAAATGATTAAATAGTACAGTGAAACTAAAAAAAATAAGTACCAAAATGTTGATAATATATAAATAGGGAGTATAAAAATTCAAAGCAGCAACTCATCCAATCAGATACCAAACAAGATGAAGAAAAAAACCTTTAGAATAGTACGAGTAATTAGATTAATTGCAATATTCAGAATAGTTCCCCGTAAAGTACCCCCACTACTCCATCTCCATAAATGAATTAAGGGCAGATACAGTACCCACAAAGTCTTGTTTCTTTTAATTTTTAGAGTAGTTCCCAATGTACAGTACCCCACTACCCATTTATGTTTTCTAAAAGAAATTTAGGCGTATAAACTACCCGACCCACAAAGTCTTGTTCCTTTTACTTTTTAATGGGTCGTAACCCGGGAGTAGCCGACAATTACTCGTAAATCTTTTAATTAAGCCAACGAGAAGCAAATTCACTTCCTCGCCCGACCCGCATCGCATCTTCAAAGATTGAATCGTGCCTGAATTGGACGATTAAACGATTCGAATCCAAGTCTTTTACCATATCTTCAATTTCCAGATCTTTGCTGCGATTCAAATCGTTCCAGGTTACCTGCCGCGTTTTACAAGTGAAATTCTAGACGGAAAAAGCTAGGCGACCAATCTGGTGTCCCCAATATCTTGCCCAGACGCCTAGGCGACGCCTTGATAACTATGGTCTCCATCCATATATTAAGCAGGACTATCTCTCTCTATCAATCTGTAATATCAACAAGGCTTGATCTTTCTATGCTCTAGCTGATTAAGTTTTCAAATTTATCCCTTGTTAACTATAAATGATTTAATTCCCACTTAATTATACAAACAATTTCTCATGAATTTCCTAAATCTACGACTATCCGTATGTAGCTAGTTGGGATTGCTTGCTTGAATTTACCAACCTATATACCTTTCATATTAATTAACCAATGAATTAAAAGAGAGATAATGTTTCAATTAATTTTGGATAATAGAAAGAATCAAAATCAAATTCGAATGAATTATTCAAATAAGGTATTCACGAATTCAAATATGCAAAGGACAAATTTCAAATAAAACGCGTTTATTGAGAAAGCAGACGCTTTAGGGTATGTTTGGTTGGAGGTAGGTAAAAGTTTTATTAGGTAGGTAATTGAAGGTAGGTAAAGTAAGGTAATGAGTTATAATTGTGTTTGGATGTTTATTAGGGAACATGAGGTAGGGAAAGAATAAAATTACTAAAATATCTTTATGGTTGTTTTTCTGTATTTGTTTAGGATGTATTTATATGAAATTACCTATTACATTATATTCTTACTAGTTTTTACCACGTGGTTTGCACGGGCTTTTATATGCGTGCGTAAAACAACCATAAAGATACAAAATTAAATGTAAAATTATTAGAATTTATTTAAATGTAAAATTATATACAAAATTATTTTTACATCAATTCTAAACATTTTTTTATTTAATTTATTAGAATTTATTTAAATTTTAAATGTAAAATTTTAAAATTAAATAAACACTCTTGGGTGAAACTTCTAAGTAACATCATCTTATATAAATGCAACTGATCAAAATTTAGTTGTCATACATTTCATAATAAAAATTAACCATATTGTTCTTCCACACATCAAAAAACATGAACAATGACTTCAATAACAAACCTACAAAAACAGAGTACTAAAAAATGCACAATTGTAGAAAAAACGGAAAAAAAAATAACCAGAAAAAATCACAAAAAAAAGAACAGAAAAAAAAAGCTGAGAAACGAAAACAGGAAAAAGTAAGCAGAGCAGAATTAAAAAAGTGAAAATTGAAAAGTGAAAACTGAAAAGAAAAAAAAAGTGAACGAAATATGGAAATTGAAAAAAATTGCAATTGAAGTGAAAAAAAAGTGAGCATAGGAAACCAAAAAAAGTAGGTAAAGCTTATCGGAATTGAGCAGGAGCAGATGGCGGAAGATTATGGCGATAATTGAGCTATGGCAATCGCAGATCGAAACATACCCCAGGAGCAGAGCAGAGCAGATCGAAAAAAATTAAAATTGAGCTATGACAATCGGAATACCTGTTGAATGATGGCGATGGGAACCGGAAGAAGATGGCAATGGGTTTTCTACCCCTGCCTCACTTACATAGTGTTAGGGCTTAGGGTTTTCACATCAGAAGGAAATAATATTAATGATATAATATTATTTTGCAGACACGATCCTTACAGTTTTCTTATTGTAAAATTTTGAACAATTCAGAGCCTAGACAGGATCAAATTCAGAACCATGGCAAACATCCAGTGAGTCAGTGACACACTATTTGGTATTAATACTAAAGCAATGTCTCTTGAACCAAAGTTCTACTCAAAAATTCAGCATGAATGTCCCAATAACTCATTTTGAAAAAAAGGGTTTTCTTCCGGTTTGTAGATCTAAACAAAAGTGTTTTTAACCCAAATTTGAATAGAGTAAAAATATTCCAATAATACTTTTCTTTGAATCTTTAATCCTCCAATAAGTCAGTTTTAAACAGTCCAAGGTTGGAATTTGATGAAGTGTGCGAGATAGTTAGGGCACACTAGAACAAATCCAAGAGTCGAAAATATGATAGAGATGAGTATAGAAAAAACCTACCTTAAAGATCCCGACCGGAGGAGAGGATGAAGGAGAGACGAAGAAGACGGCCGAAGAAGAAGAAGGTCGGATGAAGAAGAAGGCCGAAGAAGAACTGAAGAAGAAATGTAGACGGCCAAAGAGTTTATAAAATTTTGGATGAGATTTGGGAATGGATTTATATTTACACTCAATGCTTAAAAATCCATCAAAATCTATATGTATAAAAATTTTTAAAAAACTATCAACTTTTTGAATACTATCATATTTAGAAAGACTTTTTAAAATCTCAATTGAATACATTCAGATTTTAAATGACTTTTTAAAATCTGAATTGAATACCTACAAAATCCAGAAAAATCCAGAAGAATCTTGATTGAATACACCCCTAAAGCATGGCCAAGGGAGTAAATATATACCGTCTGTTGTCTTCCTTAATTTTATACGGAGTACAATTTCTTTTATTTTAATCAAAATTAAAATAAAAAAATATATAAGAAAATAAAGAAAAAGAAAAGCATGTGAAAAAATACTTCTATAATAGGGAAAAATAAGTCATCAAAGAAATCTTTTGGACATTGGTGCAAAATATATTATCAATATATTTTTAACTACTCCAAATAGATTAAAAGCACGTTACTCGTTATTTTTTTGGTCCCAACATATTCAAAAAGATAAAGCTTCTTTAGTCAAAATGAAAAAATATTTAATTTAAAGAAGTATGTGTTAAATTTTTTATTTCACTTTTCATTTCAAACACAAATATTTTTAAATTTTTTAAAACTTGTTTTTAAAATGTAGGTTTCAAAAAAATAAATTTTTTTATTTCACACAAAAACAATTTTCTTCTCTTTTTAAAGAAAAGAAAAACAATTATGAAAAAGTAGAGGGGGCGTTGGCGCCCATTTCCAAACCATAAGGCCAGCGGAGTTATTCATATATAATATTTGAATGATATTTTTGGACTAGCAGAGTTGTTCACATGTTTAATAATAATAACTACGAAGTAAACTAATGATGATGATGATGATAATTCTGATTGAATCGGATTTAATTTGATAGTACGATCTGATCTGATTTAATAAAAATAAATAATAAGTAGAAAAAAATAAATTGAACTAATCGTTGCCTTGCTCCCCCACCTAAAATCTCATCACTTTTAAAAAATATTCTAATTACAAATTTGAATAGAAACAAAAAGTGCTAATTATACCAAGAGTCACAATAATAACAGAGACATTCATTTTTAGACAAATAAAGTACTACCTAAAAATCTCAATTTATTCTTTGGATTTATATTT